TCTAGCGCAGAAAAAGTTACACTTTTGTCACAAAAAGAGATACTTAGTCGAGCGCAATTTGAATCTCTTAATGGAACAAGTCTCCAGAAACTGCTGTCCACCGAGTAATCTTTGGTTCAAATGGTTGGCGGCTGAAAGCGGGGGTTCAGGACCTAATTAAGGCTAGATAATGACCAGAGAGCACGCGCGCGAGAGAGACGCAGACTGCGTAGCGAGCGCCAGCGGCCTCAGTTAGGTCACAGAGCCCCGCCTTGCACCCGCCAGGCCATTTGAATCAAGGCTTTTGTGAGGGCACTGGGAACAAGTATTGGAAATCTCAATGTTTGAAACAACTGAGTTGATTATGCTGTAACTTACTGTAACGAAAAAATTCTAACTTGTGCTATGGAAAGTTGAGAAGGCGGTTTCCATGCTACTCAAGACTATGGAGCAATTTTCAAGTGTGGTTGGCTCTTTGAGAAGTTGCGGACGAAATTTGGAGAAGCCAATCGCTCAGTCTTCTTCAATTTTGCATGATTAGGATATCATCCTTGGAATGCAAGCTTGCATATGTCATCGAATCCTAGCAAGGACGGAATTATTTACATTTCACGGTTTTCTTTAGTTTGCCATAGGTCATTCGAAGAGAAGGATTAGCAATTTTCAAAGTAAATAAAGCTGAGAGTAACAGAAATTTTGCAAGGACCCTCGAAAAACCTTTATCACTTTGAGCAGAACCAAATGTTGCTAAAAGTAGAAAGGCGATGACGAAAGTGCCATCTACTTTGTACTTATGCGCAGAAAAGTGGGACGCAAGCACACTTTGACAGAAAAGGGAGTCTGATTCGTTGCCTTGAGCAAGTTTTTTGTTTAAATATTCAAATCGCTGAGTGACTGAGTGTGCAAAAACGCTGCAACACGTGTTATGACGTTTTTTGAGGTGAGAAGTTAAAGTAAGCGTTGAAAATCGAGTTTGCAGGCAATCGAGCATTGAATTTCATAGGAGTTACGGTCTAGCAGTCAAAGGCAGTTCATAGCAAGTATTAAAATCATTGTCTTCAAATTTTTGAAGAGTGTTTATGAGTTAAGGAATTTTATTTTTACTTTTTATTACTATTTTTTGATTTTTATGAAGGATTTGAGAATCGAATGCAAAGAGAGATTTGAGGATGATTCACAGTTGTTCTCCTGAATAGTATTTCTCTCGTAAATTTTATGGAAAAAGCAGATAAAGGTCAAATATTCGTACAGAAACTAAGGCATGCTGTAGACAATGCTCAGCTTGGTCAATTCCTTCTTTTTACTTCACAAACAAGAAATTCAATGCACCTTTATAAAATATACGTCAACCAATGCGATATATCTTTGATTGGACATATAAAATCGGCCAAGCGTATAAAACAAATGAGAGATGCGTTCTTGGTGATGTAAATGTTCCCTACTAAAGAAGGAGAGAGATGTGAGTAGTTTTTCGAAATTGCATTGAAGTATGTCAACCCCTCAAAGGTCAATTTAATCATATTTGAATAGTATGGCGAAGAGTGAGCGAGTAACTTAAAGTGCGGAAGAAAACTAAGTTTTGGGGTTTCTCAGAGGTCGAAATGGTAATTCGTTTGACCTGAAGAATCAATAATTTGAGGACATTTAGGCACCTGCTAAATTTAACAAAACATAATAAAACATGAAGTTGTGATTTTACCAAGCCTAGCCGTATTGCTTTTTATTATTTATCAAAAAATTCCACAAGGAGATGGCCAGCCCAATCGGAACTCCAAGAAACAGTACAGAAAATTATCTATCAATGAGAAGTCACGTTTGACTAAATCAGGCTAACCTACATTAACTTTTTTTACAGTATGCTAATAAATTAGTATATTTATAAATTTCCAATCTTGGCTTTTGGCAAACAGAAACAAGAAAACTGTGCTCACTCAATTTTTTCTAGTATTAAAGACTAAATAATTTATTTACTATAAGCTATATGAAGGAATGTAAACCTTGATATTATTTTCATACATTTTCGTTTAAAAAGTTGTTTCATGAAACAAGTAACGACTATGGGGTTTCTTAGGTTACTTAGTAACCTAAAACTAGTCAACTCATTGTCAGAATATTCTAAGGAATCCCATGGAGCTTTTATCAATCCTTTCGGAATCAAATATTTTCCTTGGAAAAAAACTGTTTTTCCATTTGTTATTCACAGCATAAATTATAGTGATATTTGAAGTTTTTCCTACAACAAAATTTATCTACATTTTTTTTAAAGGTTGTTTTTTTTATTGTTGAAAAATTTCCTAACATAGGTGGATGCAACCTCATTTTGCCGATTTTGAAGGATGGCAAGTTCCTGTGAGAAGTAAACGAAATTTGAAAGGGTACACAATAATCTTATTTACTTTCATTCCTACAATTTCACTGTGACTTCATTACATGATTGCATAAGTAGTGTCTGGAAGGGCATTTCTAGAATTATGTTCCTTGCAAATTTATTATAGAAGTGATAGAGGTAAGTCTGAGTGTAAAAACGCGAAAAAACGGAAAAAAATGCATTTTAAACATGGGCACTGAGCTAAGCATTTCCGTTTTCCGAAAGCAGCGAAGCTTAACATTGCAGGCATATCCTATGTGGAAATAAGTAGATTGAGAATAATAAGAGGAGACGAAAGAAAGTAGTGTCATTGCAGGCCTGTGCAAAAAAAATCATATCTTTCCAGTTTCTTAAAATAGTCGAGGAAATTTGTCGACTGGAACATGGTTATTTACAAATGTAAGGTGACGTGTGCCAACGGCAGCAAGATAGCGATAAATGCACTATAAAAGTGTATAATTACGACTAATTGATGGAGCATGCCTTTTTTGGCAAGAGTTGTTGACTAGATTTCTAAGACTGAGAGGAGGGGAGGGGGCTTGGTCAGAAAAATAATCGCGAACTGAAGTGACCAACTTTTCTCGCACGAATTGGAAATTTTCAAGAAATTAATAGAGCGGAAAAGAGGAACTTTATTGACATATGGAGAATGCTTATTGCCTACCTTTTAACCCCTCCCCTACCCGAGAATAAATCGTAAATTTTTGTATGTTGTGGCCTACATAAGCTATGAGAACGTGAAAATGATTGATTTTTACTTGAAAATAAATGGAATGATATTATTTAATTTATGAAAATTCAAATTGGCTCTAAAAAAATTTTAGTGGCGTGATTATGGCTATACTCCCTCTTTTCAAAATTTTCAGCAAACGAGATCATCAATAATTTTTGGCAGGAAGCGCAGAATTTTTTTTGGAGAGGGAGGGGAGAGGAGAGGGAAGTATGACAGGGTTTGTTTTTCTCAGGTTCAGAAGCTCATTGTCAAGCTTCCCAAACAAAAAAAATCTGGGAGGCTTTTTTAGTCCCTCAAAGTCTATTTCTGGAATTTTGAAAAAAGATTGCAAACCTTGCTTGATTATACCGGTAGTAAAAATAGTTGATTTGCAAGTATAAGTTAGTCACTGCCATTTAGAGCCTACGCAAGAAAGAAGATTGACATCATTCAATGAGGAATTGAATGGGACCATGAGAGAAAATGGTCCCAGTATATTCCGGTCATTCTTGTTTACTGGGGAAACCGAAGATTAATGAAAGGATTATTTCGAAGCGTGTAACCTCGGACTCACGTGAGTTCCCTCAAAGTGCATAAAGCCTCCAAAGCAATGTCCCAAATTTTTTCCGCGCCTAATTTCCGGCTTTTATCGATGTCCTGAATTAATGTTCGCCTGATTGTTTGGATTGCAAGTTTTTCGTTGCTTTTACGGCTAGGCTGGACTATTTCCTCATTTTCACCAGATGAAGAGCGTGACGGGACTTATTATAGTTGGGAGAAAGGTGGAAGCTCAAATTATGGATGTTACCTGAAGACTATATTCTACATGGAGTATTTAGAAGTGTCAAAATGTCCATAATCCACTACCGACCACGCCCCCACTAGTGGGCGTAATTCCGACTCCGCCCATTCAGCCTTTACGTGTTTTCACCTGGCAAACACGGTTGATCCGCGCACTGCGACAAGATCAGTGCAAGCATCCACTCTGCTTGAAGAAAATGAAATTTTTTCCACATCTGAACAAATGTGTGAGAGAATCAAGATATAGAACTTGGAAATCACGAGCATTACATTTGACACAGGATAGCCCTATGACAAATAATCACTACGAATTAGCAAACAAACATAACAAGAACGCAGCAAAGTGCAAGATTACAGCTATAGGGCATTCGAAAAATCGTGACGACGAGCCGACCGCGCGCGACGCACACGCATCTCCGGCAACCGCATTTTTTGGTTTTCATCTCTATTCGAATGGTTTTTCTGTTTACACATGATTGATATTGATATAGACAGTGGAAGTGACTGCGCTGAGCCTTGAGATGGTGCCTTTTTGGATGAGTGTATTTTGCTGCTGCGAGCGCAAATACCGCAGTCAAATCTGTCGTCACGTTTTCATAAATGACCTACATGACATATATAAGTATATGAGCAATAGCACGTAAGCAGGTGCGCTGGGGCCTAAGGCAGGCGCCATACTTAATCCACTTGATCCACTTGATCCGCTTCATCCATTCCACTATTGGTCAGTTCACTGAATTGACCAATGATGAAGCGGATCAAGTGGATCAAGCGGATCAAGTGGATTAAGTATGGTGCCTGCCTTAGGCCTAAGCGCACCTGCAGTGACACTTACGCGTAATCAGAGCGAACATCTCCAAGGAATATAACTAACAAATTTCCTCAATGATTCCTTTACTTCTTTTACACTTTCGAGTCGAGTAGACTTTCCAAATAAGGTTTTCCACCTGAAAAGTGCACCTGGACGCCGGAGCTGTATTTAGTAAATTAGCCGAGATAATAGAGAATATACGTTATGCTAGAAATGAATTATTATAGCTGAACCGCGCATACTCCCCTCCTTCTCCTCACCACCCTCCCTCCACAAGACTATTCCAATAAGCTTGTGATTCGACGGGCTTATGATTTCTTCTGGAGATAATGCTTCTTGCTTCGTGCGTACCATGGTAACCCTCGAATAGCCTACTGTAGAGCGCTTGTTGTGCATCAGCGCGTGGGATCGAACGCACGGACGTAATACCGCGAGGGCCTTGCGTCGCGTCGTGGAAAGCGTTATCCTCTCATTTTTGCTTTTTTCGGCTTTCATTCTAGCTGATCGAATAAATCTGTTTGCGTATCGTATTGGAAGGAGAGTTTTTCATATCCGGGCATTCTTTTCTGTCTTCAGCTTGCTAATTCGACTTTGAAACCAGTGGAGATACGATCAAATCACTTTCAATCGAGAATTGCCATACTCAGGTCTTCTTTCTCTAGTTTTCTTTGTTTCTCTATTCTCCAATCATTGCTCCTCTCACTTGTTTTTGCACCGATGCGGACCCTTCCTCCTTTTTAAGAGTTGCTATCTTGCTAACTGCCAACCTGCAGTTATCCAAACTTCGCAAAATGTTATGTCTGTGTAGCTTTTCCTTGCCAAGATCTCATATTCTTTGCATTCAGGGTGAAATACTTGGAATTTCCACGCGAATGGTCAGCATGGAGAAAGACGATGAAGTTAAAAAAGATCAGACACAAGAAGAAGAAAACCTCGATGAACATCTTGACGACGACGACAACGGCGACAACAAGGAAGGTACTGAAATCAAACACAAGCTGCCGCAAACAACTTACGTCCGGCTTCGCGGCTTGCCGTACTCGTCAAAAGAAAGCGATATCCGGGCATTTCTTGATGGTTGGTCATTTTGTGCCATAGAATGATTAGCGGATGATAGTAATCTTCTCAAGGTATTCCGGTCACTTCGATTACAATGAGCTCTTCCTATAATGGGCGTCCCAGCGGAGAATGTTATTGCGAATTGACTTCCAAGCAAGACGTACTCAAATCTTTGGATTTCCACTGCAAAGAAATGGAGGGAAGATACATCGAAAGTGAGTTTAATTTTTCTGTTTAGTCAGTTGAAAACGAGGAATACTGGTAATGTTATGTCAGCAGCAAACTACATAGCATTCTTGCATGACAAAGTTTCTAGAATTGAGGCGGACTCCATTTTCTCAAAGTGTAGCTGATAGACTATCCAACATTCTTCCTTTCTAAAGGTAGCACCAGAGGTGTATTAAAATTATGCGTAGCACCTATGGAGGCCAAAAATGAAAAAAAATCGAAGTCACTAGTGTCTGATTCTTTTTCAACATTGGATATCGTTTACAACTGTGCAATAGAACTACCAGCAGTTTAATTGGATACCAGTAAAATATCGAGAACTTTCTAGCAAACGGTGTGAAATTGATTTTCTGGACATGCTTAGTCCATGTTGAATATTTTATCGAAGTCAACAGTGAAGTGTTTCTAGAAACTGTGGAACTCATTTGCTTTTTCCAAGAGCATGCTCGCACTTTTGGGTTAGATAATCAGTACAGCAACGGGATGTTTTCGAATTTTGGGTAAAATGGTTGGCCGCAGTGGATTAGAGTCATCGAAAAAGCAGTGGCCGTATTCATTAACGAGAAATCAGTAGGTTGAAAGAATGAGTAGGTTCAACCCATGAAACTGGTAACGAAGCTAGTGGGTTCGCGAACCCAGCAGTGCTTTCTGTAGTTTCGATATAACCCAGTGGCACAGTCGCTTACCCACTGGGTAGGCGGAACCCACAAGGTTCGTTGATGAATACGGCCCCAGGAAAACGCGGCTCGCACATATACGCTCTCTTTAATAAGCTCATAGTAAAGGTAGCAGAAACATTTGAGGAAGAAACAGGTTCCTGAAATCCGAACTTTCGTAAGTAAATATACTTTCAAATTGCGCTCCGCCAGTAGTTCATGCATGCTGCTGTTAGTTTGACCGCCTTTCGTAAGGTAGGCGCCAGACTAACCGATTGCCTGTTTCAGCAGTACGCTGCGCAACTAATAAGCTGGTGTCACTTGGCGCCATGTTGAACGGGAATCCAAGTGGCGTTTGCGATGCTCGCAATAACCGTAGATCTGAAGAGATGATAAAAAAGCCTCGCAATGAGAGAATGAGAGGCCCTGCCAGCAAAAATTTTTTGTTGTTTGGAAATCGCGCATACCGGCCCTACAACGTGACGTCAAGTGACAGTTAATGCGCCGCGTCCTGCTGAAGCAAGCAATCGGTTAGTCTGGCGCCTACCTAAGCTTGTATGTCAGTAGTTTTTTTTTCTGCCAAAAAGCGCTTCTATGGAGCGTGCACATCTGCACAGTGTGCAGCTAGATGAATGAGCATACCAATGCGAATATTTGCAGTTTTCACCGTATCAATTGATGAACTCACGAACCTCAAGCGCGCTGGCCTTGTCACAGATGAAGGCAAAGTGATTCGACTTCGAGGTCTACCATTTTCTGCAACAACTGAGGATGTGAAGAATTTCTTCAAAGGTACGCTAATTTTTTGAGTCATGAACATTTTGATAAATTTTCAAATATTTTTTCGTAAAAGGGAATCGGTGTTGCGGGTATCGGGACATGGTTATGTCTTCTCAAACGGTTCCTCAACACTAGCACCCAAATTTTACAGTATACAAGAACAATTAGAGCTCAAGTTTTTGTGATTTTATTTGCATTTATACGGTATTCATCGATATCACGTTATTGCTTACAATTCGAGGGTAATTTTCAAAGTTAAGTGGTGGTTGTGTATCAGGGCTAAACTGTGAAGAGGTGGTATTCGGGCGTACGGGAGGGCGGCCTAGCGGGGAAGCTTTCGTGCGTCTCGCCAGCAAAGATGAAGCCTCGAAAGCCCTCGATTTCAACAAGCAACATATGGGAAGCAGGTGGGAGCAGTGGGCTCTAGATTTATGCTCAGTTTGTTAACTTTTGCGTCACTTGCTTGTTGGTATCCTTCTTGGAACTGATTTTCCATGTATATTATTCATTTGCTCATCTTCATTCTCACTCTTCTACTGAATCCAGCCCTTTTCTCATTCTCTTCTCTTCTTATCCATATCTTAATCATTTGAAGCTTCTTACCCTCTGCTTTTAGATACATCGAAGTTTTTCGCACTACCGTTGATGACATGGAGCGAAATCGTCCACGTAGCTACGATAGTGGCTACATCCGTCCTCTTTTTGAAACAAAAGGATACGATCATGGACCGTAAGTACTCTATTTTTCTTCAGTTTACTCATCTTGATGTTTTTGAAGGGATAGAAGAGGACTGCGCACAGGATTTCGAGCTGCTCCATACGACATTCCTCGAGGAGGTTACGGAAGATATGATGATTATGATGACTTTGTTCCTCCTACTAAGGTGGTTATCTTCTTTTGCTTTGCTTTTAAGCAAAGTGGCTCATCTTGGCAATATCCTTCTTCTCTCTTTTTGCTAAATTTATCAACCTTATTTGCAGATCTTCATGCGTGGACTTCCTTTCGACGCCGATTCTTACATGATTGAGCAGTTCTTTGCCCCTCTCCGGTGCCTTGAGATCAGCGTAAGTGAAACACCTTTCTATGCCCTTGATCCATAAGATTGAATGTTTTGTTAAGCTGGGCTTTAATGATGACCGACGACCGTCCGGCGACGCAATGGTGGAATTTGGAACTACTGCTGAAGCTCGTGAGGCCTTTACGAGGAACAGAGCCATGATGGGAAAGAGGTTTGCTTCAGTGTTTTTACCATCATGAATGAAATGAAGATGATACCATTCTTCAGGTACGTTGAACTTTTCGGTGCAAATGACATGCCAACAACCATGAGGCGACTAACCTGGCGCGTAATTGGAGGTCAGCCCGCTCCCAGACCCCTTCCTTTAGTATCTAGGAGTGAGTAGTTGTGATAAATGCACTTGTGACTTACTTCTAGTTGCTCCACTTTAGGCGCCTATGACTCGCCGTATGTCGGAGGCGGCTATGGTGGATATGGCGGTGGAGGCTATGCCAGAGAACGACTGTATGATCCTCCCGCTCCTGGACCATTCCGCGGTTATGGTGGAGGTGGTATCATGGGAGGTGGTGGCGGCGGCATGGGCAGACCAATGCGTGGTGGTCCAAGACGCAGCGGTGGTTGGTAGGAAAGTTGTGCTCCTGCTGCTGCAATGTTAAAAAACAGATTATGCATACATCATTGTTCTCCAACATTACCTTTTTAGGTGTTCTCATTTATCCTGTAGATTTCAGCGAAGTTGTGTTCTTAATTATGGTTGCATTCCCTTGCGGACCTTTAATTGTAAACTTCTGATACGTCAGCCTGCATTTGCTATTAAAAGTACCCTTGGTTCTCTTTTTTATTCTTGATTTGTTCCTGTTGTGTGTACGTACTCGTCTTTTGTTCTTTTTGTTTATTGAATGAATATTTGTTTTTCTGAAGTCTGTGTTGGATATATCAAATATTCGTTCGTACAGTCGAGATAATGAAGTATATGAGTGGTGGAAATATCACACATTTAATTACAATTTCCATTACAATTCGTGTTCTCATTGGTTCACGACGTTATGTATTGATCAGCTCACAATTATGATGCAGCCAAGGATCGTTTCGATTGTTTCTGTACAGGGACTCAAAAGGCGCATACTAGTAAATCTTGTAGGAAAACGCGAGGTGTGACGGTGCGCTCTTTCATTCCAATGTATTTGTAACATGCAGACAGTTCGGCTCGCTAAATCACAGGCGAAGACAATCTGTAAAAGAGTTCGCAAAGCTCTGTTTAGAAGGCAGTTTGAACATATTTGTGCATTAGTTATCAGTGGGCAGGAGCGCTGTGATTTCTGCGTGAATTCAGAAAACTTAGGCTTCTTTTTCGGCGCTTGCAGCTCAGCGGACACATCACTGTCGTGTTAAGATTGAGCAAGTTGCAGCCTACTCTCATCACTTGATCCACTTGATTCACTCTCATCACTTGATCCACTTGATTCACTTCACCCACTTCGCTATTGGTCAAATCAGTGTGCTGACCAATAGCAAAGCAGATGCCCGCTTGATCCACTTGATCTGCATCTTGCTTCGGGTCAGTTCACTAAAGAAGGACATCGCCGCGATGACGCGGTTATACTGGTGGTTAGAAAGTTGCACCATTGCATGTAGTCGCAACATTATATGCATATAGAATGTGAACAAAGCTGATGATTGCCAAGTAAGTTTGCGATCAGAAGAGGCCCTTTGATTACGCTTTGACTGAAAGAAGGCAGTTGCATTGTCTGCATCACTAACTAATCCAAAGCACCTCTCTATTATGTCAGCAGTGATTCGTTTGCTTTCGTAATTCACTCTCGTTAAACTTGGTCTCACAATTAAGACCTCATGAAATCTTCCATTTTCTAGAACAGAGCTCGTTTTGTGGATTAAATGAGTGATTGGCCTCGTCTGGCCGATCGATCATGGGTGGATGAAACAAATAAGCGAGTACAAGCTCAGGTTCGTTGATTTTCCTTCTTTTTGTTCTTCTTTCTTTGAAACCTTTCAACTCTTCTTGATAAGATCATTTGTTCTTTGTTGGAGGACTGAACCAATTAAAGATTATTTTCTATCATGACTATATATAATCATCGAATTACGAGTGATTTCAATGCTGTTTTATTGTGCTCAGGGTATTGATGCATGAACATCTTGTTTGCAGCACATGAATTCCCCATTTCAGGAATGCCATCGTGCCGCATTGGCAAGCGTGGAATCCTCGGACGAAAATGCACTTCACTCGCTTGATTCAACGTTGAAGAAGACTACAGCCTTCATGAAGAAGTTGAAAACTCTTTCAACAGCTGGCGTTCCTTCGTTGATAGAGGATCTTTCTCGATTGAACCTTTCAAAATTTGTGGAAGAAATGGCAGCTGGTATCGCTGAGACGAAGTTGAAGCCGGCGGATGTGAATCCCATTGTGGATCTTTGCGTGGCAATAGCGTCACGTTATTCAAAATTTCCCGAGTTGTTGTTGGCCGAGATCAAGAAGGGATTGCCTTTGAAAAGGACTGACAAAATTGCTAATCCGGCGAAGCTCAGAATGGACGTTAGGTGCGTTTGTAATCCACGCTTGGAAGGATTCTAAAGCTGTTCAGAACGCAACTTACACGTTTCAAGCTTGGGATTAAGTGAGGAAATAAACATGTCTAATTACAGACTACTTTGTGAGTTAATTCTGTGTGGCGTCGTTGGGAAGGAAGGTTTACAAACACTGGGAGCTACGCTATCATTCATCTGCCTAACAGATAAGGGAGAGCATGTAAATGTGAGTTTTCGCTCAATTTTCGACTGAGTTTTCCGTTTTACACCCTCAGATTTTGTGTGGTTTAGGTTGGCCTTATTTGTTCGCTATGTCGTCCTGTTGGATGGCAAATTGCTGGGATAGTACCGACGCCTGAAAGTAGCGACACCATTTCGATCGAGCAAGGTTAGTCATTTTGTCGCTATAGATAATTCCTACATCTCTTCTTTTGGCAGTAGGCTTTTCACAGTTTCATGAGTTCTCCACCGAAATATTGCAGATGCGTTACAAGTGAATAATGCTATCAGCGCAGATCACAGGAAAGTCGTGAATGACTTGTTCACCAATTACCATACAGGGATGTTACGACATCTTGAAAAAGCGTGCGCTACCATGAATGTCATACAGAAGAGGGTGAAACGGCAAGAGCGCACAAGAGGTATGTTTGGACCCTCTACACTAATCCAGACTTTTCCTCTTGATTTATGTGTTTCTAGGCGATGCTACTTCTGAGGATAAAAGTGAGCTGGAAACAGTGAAAGCGGAGTTCGAGCGGTTAAAAGCGCTAGCTACGGAGCTGAGCAATTCTCTTGGAGTACCGATGGTCAATCTTAGGGAAGAACCCAGTGATAATGAGGAGGACGAAGCTGCTGCATTGGAGGTGAGGAACTTCAGATTCTGTGGTTGCAGTCTTCGAAGGACTACTTCAGATGGACAAGGCCCTGGCTGAGGGCCACGTTTCTTTGTGGCCAGATGACGAGACGAGGATGTTTTATGAAAATCTTATTGATATCAGGAATATCGTTCCAAGAAGTCTGTACAAGGTCAGTTTCAGGCCTGTGGTTGCAATTCTGTAAGGTAATCTCATCTTTTGGTTTAAAGGAATCAGAGGAAAGAACGATCCAAGAGAGTGATTTGAAGACGTCCGTAGATGAGATTGACGTCGATGGACTTGAAGGTGACGGGTTGGAACGGGAGGCTGCAGATGTGGAAGCAGCGAGGTATGTTGGATTCATACACTTACCTGAAACCATTTGTTCTATCTATCCAGTTGTTTTTCTGATATTTCTATCTCTTTCATACCGTGTGTAACACTTTCTGAGGTTTTGGTCAGCTTCTCCTTCACTAAAGTTCCAATATTGTTACATCTACTACTGTAAAGAGTTGTAGAGGAGTGCAGCTTGAATTTTCAGTTCGGAAAATTCTGACGAACCATACCGGCCAAACACGCCGCCCTCTCCGTCGCTACCGCAGTTAAACGAAGAGATATCAGCAGCGGTTGACACAACATCAATCACCTCGGAAGAGATCAAACAGTTGGCTCAAGTAAGACATGAAAAATTGTCGTGAGGTACACTGTATTGCATGGAAGGTATTTCAGAAGTTCTTTCTAAATTTGGATCATCTTGTCAATCGTGACACCACGGACCAAAGTGCCCTCGACTTCGTTTCGAACTTGAATACGAAGGTTCACTCCTACTGTCCACTTTCCTCAATTATATCATACTGATATTGTAGACTTATCGCAAAAAGCTCGTCAAAGTGCTATTTGGAGTGCCTTCATCCCGTCTGGACCTATTGCCATTTTATGCACGCCTTGTCGCCTCACTTAATCCAGTGATGCCGGATTTGACTACCGAATTGTCAGCAATGCTCATAAAACAGTTCAGGTGAGTATCTGAGAATCTATCAGACTCTCACTTAGTCAAAAATATTTTTGTTTCTAGGGATTATGTACAGAGGAGTGGCCAAGAGAGAGTGGAGGAGAAAATAAAGTGTGTCATGTTTATATCTGAACTTGTGAGTTATCTCTTTCTTTCATGCTATCAATTTGCGCCATACTCGTCTCGTCTCCATGTAGGCATATCGCAAAGTCTATTAATCAAACTAAGCATCTTTTTACATTTCGGAAAATTCTTCTGCGCGTTTTTAGATCCCGACAATGAAAGCAGTTATTATTTTTTAGGTAAAATTCGGTATGATCCCGCGCGCTGAAGCCCTTTCTTGCCTTCGACAGCTGGTTTACGATTTTCGTGGCCACTCTGTTGATATGGTTTGTGCGATGATTGAAACGGCTGGTTATTACTTGTACAGGTTTGCGTTTTATCAGATCAATAATTTTTAGGAATACCTCCTTATTCTTTCGACTTTCTTTCCACCGTTTTGAAGAGCTGTTATTTGAATTTATGACCATGAGCCGTTTAGAAATAGCGACAGTCATCCGAAGATGAAAATTATCCTGGATGTTGTACAGAAGAAAAAGGAACGAATAAAAGATGTACGACAAACGGTGAGCGAACACATATGTATGGTTTTTATAACTTTTTTAGTTTTTCCTTGAAATGACTGTTTTATTGTGAAAATATCGCAATCAGGCTTCGTCTTATTTTCAATATTCATTTTTTTACAAGAACTTCAAATGTTTATTCCAAGCCTCACCTACCGCTATTTGCATTTCTGTTTGCTCTATTGTAATTTCAGATGCTGATAGATAACGCATTCTTCGCCTGTATCCCGCCAGCAGACTCGGCAGCTGCTAGAAGGGCCCAAGCTGAACCGCCACTCATGATATTTATCCGGCATTTGGTTGTTGACATTGATGAGCACAATGTTAACACCAATATTAAGTGCATCAGAAGATTAGCGTGGGACGATGAGACGGTTTCTGGTAAGTGTGACGGTAGCCTATGCGGTCATAGTCATTTAGAGTTTTGCAGGTTGGTGTCTGAAATACCTAACCTCTCCTTGGCTACTACCGTACGCCAACTTACTACATCTAGCCAGTGCAGTAGCTGGACTCCAAGGATTAACTCATTATGACTGGATCTCTACATATGTGATTGATGCGTGTCAAGAAATGATTAGGTATAGTTTCACCTCCTGTTTGGTTCGTTGCTCTACAAAAATTACTACAGAATATCATTGGAGTTGCCTGGCGTGTTTAATCAGAAAGCGATTGCAACAGCTTGCTACCTGGGAGAGCTTTACAATTACAGTGTCTGTGACACTCCTGTGATTTATAAGGTATATTTCATTGTTTAGTTGGATCGTTTTTAAGAAAAGTCTCAATCTTCCAAATCATTCTGTGCGTCTTTTCGTTCATCCTTTTCGTCTTATCTTGAAACTTGTATATATATCATTTGCACTCTCCATCTTCTATTTGCTCCTCTTGGCCTAAACTTCTGTGCTGTTCATGGAATGACTTTATGATGCGGTTTTTGCTTCGCGATGCGTGATTTAAACCAAGATGATGACTTGCTCATTGATTTTTGATCTTCTTGGATAATGCTGGGCCTATTCAGCATACTTAGCCTGCTCGCAAAAGTCATTGCAATTCCAAGATGGACAGATTTCTTATTATACGAGTATAAGTCCAGTTTGTGATGATACTGTAGGCTTTGATGATGATACTGTAGGCTTAATTCGTGATTACTGCGGCTGCAAATGTAACGCCTCCTTAGGCACCCGCCATACTTGTCTTGATCCGCTTGATCCGCTTCGTGCAAAACGCGCGCACACAGCAGTTTGTCCTTTGTCGCCGCATAGATAAAAAGGAATTTTGTATGGTTACGGTACGCGACACCAGATGACAAATTAGTGACGCGCGTTTTGAGGAAGCGGATCAAGCGGATCAAGAAGATCAAGTATGGCGGGTGTCTCACTAGAATGGATCGCAAATCGCAAATTCTTGATGGTAAATAACAAAGCGGGGTTTCCGCCTTTACTATTAGAAAGACTTCCGACAGTCATCGAAGCTGTAGCAGAATTTGCGTCAGCACTACCAAGAAAATGCTAGAAACACCGCGAAAACATTTTGAGCCTTACCTTCAAACTCAAAGCAAGAGATCAAATTTATAGACAGATCCATATCGTGCTGATGCTCGCGCAGCACCTTTTCTTTGAAAATTGAGTTAGCTAATGGAAATTGTTTTTGAAAAGCATCTGATCATCGGGTTTGCAAGCTTGCAAAAATATCGAGAAGATCCCAAAGTTTTTCTGATTGGGTTACTTCAATCAGAAAAGACATTTTCACAGAAATTTTTTGGCTTGCATCCTATCTCATATCTCAACATTTAACTTCGTTGGTGGCAATTAGGCATCGTTACTTCGCATTCGCCTTTATCTCATAATATATGCAGCTATCAAGGCTTGCACCGGGTATGGATAGTGGGCAGTGAAGAAGATCAGTTTATCCCAGAGTGGCTGCTTGAACCTTTTCTTGATTTGAAAACATCGAGCCATACTATTTCAGGTCCTCTATCAAATCATCTCTTTTCCTGAGACTGATCCTCTGTCATGGCAAGAATTTTATCGAGTGCGTATGGTGTGCGAGCTGCTGAATACCATAGCAGATTTTTTTCAAACCGGCCGTGCACGCCGAAAAATGGACTATTTTCTTACGTATTTTCATCGTTTCTATTGGATGAAGCGAGAGCAATGGCATGTAAATATAGCAGCTACTGAACCTATGGCTGTTATCGATGAAAGTGGAGATACTACGACAGTCGCCGAGCCACCGAGGTACTGTACATTTCTTGCCCGGGTATAGGTTTTTTCTTCAAATTCTGGTTGTTTTTCCAGATTTCCTGCTGACATCGAAGCTGAGTACAGAGAGTGCATGAGACATCTACGGAAAAGCGCACCTCTTCCCAAAGATCTGACCGAAGCTGAAAAGGCTGTTGAACAAATGGAACAACAGTTAAAAGAAAAGGTATGCGTAGCTTTGACGCTTGAGAGCTTCATCGAGTTAATCAGGCTTTTCATAAGGACAACCAGCCCAAGCCACACTTGATGTCTAGCCAGCCTCTTTATTGAATTAGCTTGGAACTTTTTTTCAAAATATTAGGTTGGAAACTAAGTTTTGCAACTGGTCTCGTAACTTCCCTCTCACTCAACATGGCGCATTCAAATTTTGCCACTGAATTGGTTATTGCGTAAGCTACAAGCGCAGCTGCTGTCCTACCAAATTCTGACGTCGCAATGAGGGTTACGGTAGGTGCATGGTATGAAGGGGAAAAATTCAAAGTTTGACGGATTTAGCTGAAACTTGGCATAGAGGTGTGATCCGACATGCTGATCACGAAAACGATAGTGAAACTGCGTGATAAGGGCTTTTTTGTGGGATTACTGTAGGTGTACGATATGGGGTTCTCACCCTAAACAAGGAAAAAGGCGTTGATTCAACAAATGAATGTAATATTCGCGTTTGGCAGGTCAAATAACCTTACTATATAAAGTCTCGGCGGAATTTGAGCTTCGGACTTTAGTCATTGACGGCCGTCTCCAGCAGCTCTTGCGTACATCGACTGGTTCGACTTTGTGAGGACGCCAAATCCCGACATACCCCTAATTTTTTTCTTTCTTAATAGGCCAAAGGAGCCAACCTCCAGCTATAATTTATAGACGAATCCGGATTACTGCGCATGATCTAGGCTGCCAAAGGCTTCATTTTAGCTTGAAACCCCAAAAATTCACAAATTTCACTAGTTTCTTTTCTATTTCATGTTCAAAATTTAGACAATTTGTGCTCACTTGTAGCTCACATGGCCTTCTACATAATGCCAAAGTTTGAGTGCGCCATATCCAAAGAGAGCGGAGTTATAAACCAGTTGCAAAACTTAGTTTCCAGCCTAATACTTTGAAATTCTAGAAACAGATAAATGGCTCTTAATCCTATAATACGTTTCGTCTTCCGCTTTGAGCAGGAAGCCTCAATTCTGTTTATAACCTCCTTATGCAACCAGGATCTCTCTAAAATTTTCAAGAAAATACCAATGCAAAATGTCCTCTGACCACCGCTGCAATTGTTTGCAATGTAAAATTTACATTGTCAGATTTGTTTTCAGCTTTTACTCGCTAGTGGAAGCGCTGATGAGGAAGAAGAGGAAGAGGACGAAAGAAGAGTGCTAGATCGTGGACTACATCAAATAACCGAGGAAGAAGAGTAGGTGAAATTTTTTACACCTTGGCGTGATTTGTCTCGCCTACGATGTTTTCGCCGTATACTCTTGCACTGGATATCATCTTACGAGCGTTATTGGAACAAAAACACTTAGTCCATAATAGCACTATAGTGTCAGTGTCCTGGGAAATCTGGGTATCTGGACTTTTGATATGGATATCAGTAGCTGAGAAACTTTTTTAGGTTCAAGGAAAAAGTGGGTGTGTGAGAAAATGAAAAATTCTGAAGTTTCTCAGATTTTTCGCATACTTTCTGGCATTGTATTTGTCACTACAGCCATACCGCACACTTCTGCAAAAAAAAGTTTCAAAAAACCTTTGGGATCTCTTTGAATTGAAAAAAAATCAGAAAAATTGTTGCAACAAAAAAAAAACTGACTTTAATAATATTCATTTCAAAAATTTGACCACTCTTCCATCCTCTTCGGTCTATTATTGAAGGATAGAATGGGAATTGTTAGTGAGCTGCTGACCTAGCTACTTCGTTTGGTGTGACAGAGTAATTTATGGCTAAACTTTTGCCCAGACCTTAGCCTTTTTAAACCGTCTAGTCAGCGTCCTCGAATGCAGTAGACATCACAGTCTGGACTGAGTTCTGAAGTCAGACTTTTCGGTTATCCGTTGGGCATCCGCAAAACTAGGGCCAAAAGTATCCATGTGGGACTTTCAGATATCCAGATTCTTGGACAGTGCCTCCAGTTGCTGTTGCTCTGTTGCTAAAAGAACATCCTTTGTGTTCTCACCTCCCTATTGATATTTTCGCAACAACCATCATCGAAATCTATATCATTTTTCGGCGTCGTTTGAGATTTCTTGAGGGAGAAAATTTTGCTCATTCCACTTGGATAATATGAATTGCGGAACGTTTTTCACTACCCATTCTTTCTCATAATTCATCCATCATGTTTTCTGTTTTGCCAGTTTTTTGATTGGCGTTTTCGCAAATATTTTTTGAGTTCATAATAATGCTAATTTCTTTACAGTACAACATTTAAAAATTTGGGAGTAAATACCGTACACACTTGGCACTACTTTTTTGGAAGTATCTTTCATTTCCTGGAGCTGCTTAGTTGGAATAGACTATAGCTTGAATGCATGTATAGAAGAGGCTTTCATTTAAAAAAAAGTGATAAGTTTCCATAAGTTTTTTCTCTTCTTGTGATGCGCAAGATTATAGGATAGCATTGGTGTCTACCCCTCCATCTGGATCTATAGTCAAGCCCATATTTCACTTGAGCACTACCACTTCGTAGAAGCAATGAGCCTTTGAGTAATTGGTATAGCAGATAATATGGAAAGCAGCTGTGGAATCAGCGCCAGACCATATAAGACATAGACGGAATTGGCCATTTTGTGTAAAAAGTGTTCTCATGTGAGCCTATTCTAGCAAATGCGCGGTGATTGTGAGATTGTGAAGAAAGTGCATGGGTCTTTATCTGAATGGGTTATTGGTGAAAGTGGACAAGTTTAAATAACCTCTAAGAGTAGCTGATTTTTGAAGGGTTTGAATTAAAATGTTGAATTTTTCCAGTAATGTGGCTATTTGGTTTTTTGGGAGAGATAAGACTAAGAACTCATAAGCTATTGCGATGATACTCGTCTTGCACTAAGATTTTGCAAATTCATGGCATTTTCCACCTTCTACGAAATGCTTTGGTTGATACATTAGGTCAGAAAAAATTGTGCATTTTCTGGTAGTCTCTAGGCGAAATTTGCTTTTACCATGTTGCAATGAAACAAGTTGATTGAGAGAAATACTCAGAATTGCTCTTTTGACTCGTTTGCTGAAGTTGCTGAAATGTCTACTGGAAACTAATTTTACTTATGCTTTTGATCTCATGACCTGTTCTTTCCACCAAAGGAAAATTCGTGCTAACCAATGGATTCCACAACTAGTTGTGATTTCCAATTCTAGAGTTTTAATGCTTGCTTTTGCCTCTAGTATCTTTAGTATGTGTAATGAACTCAGCTTTTATATTAGCTTCTATAACATAAATAAGAAAAATCTTTCAAACATTTTCCAGAAAGTTTTTCGTATTTTTGGTGCAAGAATCATGCATCAACCCAACATCAAATTTGACAAGTCTTAGACTTGAAACGTTAGGATTTTTCAAGCACCAGGAGATCTACAAGGACGTAAATTTATATGCTTCTGAAAGTGTGACTGGAAAATGAAATCAGCACGGTTTCATAGATCAAAATTTCAAAGAAAACCTGGTAAGCTTTGTTGTGACTGTGGCATGGCAAGCTTTGACCTCCTTGAAAATTCGGCAACGCATGTTGACAAATAAGCGATTCTGGGATTTCTCCCAATTTTTTGAATTTGAAGTCGGAGGTCTTTCTACTTTCATAAAGTCACACTCCTGCAGACACACTCCATGTTCTGTTTTATGTTGCGATTATGAATTTTTTTATTCTATTATACCTTGTTTTGGAGGTTAGGCCTCATCATCTTCTTTATTCCTTTAAGTACTCTTTCGCATGCATTGAACTTTACTTATTTAACCTGCTAAGTAGCTGTTCGCTATCATCTCTCCTTACCTCTTATTTTTCTCCCTTTTATGCCTCCCTTTTTCGAATCATTTCCTCCTCCTTCTGCCTCCACCCTTGATTGCCTCAAGTAGGTTGTTGTTGTCGATTCGTCATTGACTTGCAAATATCACCAAATTTGTCATTTCATCCAGTAGGTTCAATCAGGGAAGAAGATCTCTGAATTTTAAGTTTGCATAAGAACCTTTGGAAAATGTTCACTCATCAATGAATGCGATTTTTGAAAATTTCACTTTTCCTATTTTCAAGCCCCCAGCTTTTCGTCCAATGTCTCTTTCGCATTTGTTCGTTGCTGCAGCGTAACGATATTGAATGTAATTTCCATATAGGGAGGGGGACCTCTTCGCGAAATTTCTTCACTAGTTCTACGAATCTCGCGGGAACTCGCGCGGCGCAAATGATGTGTAAACGAATCATCGCTTCGCGACACTTATTGTATCTAGAGTTTGTGTATAGTTCTGGAGAAAAGCCGTGGAGCAAATTCAATAGACCAAGAGCAGATTCGATGAACAGAGGGATTGCTCGAGACGTTCTTCTCGACTAGCTGTTTTCTTGGCGCGACTCTCCCTGCAGTAAGGCTAACATGCACAAGAATTTGTCTCTCTGTTGGTTGGATTGTAATGGAATCCCACTCTAGCGCTGTGCTCGCGTTCGTTCGGCTCTCGCGCTCACTAGGAGCGAGTCTCCCCCCGTCTTGTCAATTGAAACTCAATAAGGTGCACGGAGGGGGTCGAATTCAAATTTGTTTGCTTTGGGCTGCGTTTCTTATTACGTAGAGCCACAGGAGTTTTCTCTTGCTACGATATAGCTATTGCGCTGATATTGCGAATCCCATTGGATGACAAATGTTAGAGGAAAAAAGTAAATATTTTATTCACAGGGCTATAGAATGACTTATACATGATAATAATTTTATGAGAAAGATGTGCAAAGTATCACAGTGGAGTTGAGATCACAGTTTGAGCACAGAACGAGCGATATGGCACTTTTGGCGAGAGAGATCGAGGGATGGACCTGAAAAATTCTCTATTTAGAGTGGGACCTGATTTGACCGTAAATTTTTGAAGACAAGAGCATAGAGATGCTACAGAAATTATATAAAAGTATGTAGTCAATAAACAATGACATAATTTTGCTCAGGATCGCTGAAAAATTGAAATTTCTATGCATGCAATTGCAGCTGTCGTCATCCAGAAATTCTAATCATGCTTTTAATTGAGAACTTCAGAAAATTTAAGACACATATAAAAATGTGTGCAACTGCACAACTGCTTCGAATTTACTACCGAGAATTTTCATAAAATTCTTGCACCTTTTCATTTTCACATTATAGGCAGTCTGCCATTCTGATTGGTCTTGGAGTTATGGAGTTATGCACGAGGTTGTTGTGCAGTTGCACACAATTTTGAAAAATCAGAGTGTCTTGAATTTTTTGATATTTAGCTAAGGGCATCATAAGTTGAAAATTAAACGTTTCTTCTTCTGAGATTATTATTTAGAGCTCTTGGATTGATCTCCAAATTTCAGAGAATATGGAAGCGATAACGAAAAACGACCATCTGTAATGGCCGATGACGATGCCGATGAGAAAGTTTGTGTACATGTGGAGAAAACTACGATTCAACCAGAAGATGAAGAATTTATGCGACAGTTGGATAGGATGTTGGCTGAACAAGCGAAGGTGAGCTGAGGAGTGGGGCATCTTGGTTTTAAGGATCTGAAGACAAAAACTGAGTCTAATCAGGAAGAAAATGCGCCCTGATGCGAATCATTGCGAGAGAATGAAGTTTAGAGAGATTTGATATCCTTAAGTGATGTCATAGCTAGAATGAGAGTCATTTGAAAGTCATCTCAAATCACTGAAGAATGATGAAAATACGTAGGAAGGGGCGTGTTGGGGGGAGGTGAGAGTGTCAAGTGGGATCTTTACAACATTGTACGGTATCCATACAAACGTCTGCGAATCTATAAGACAGCCACTGGGGGGGGGGGTGTATAAGATTTTCGTTCTCGCTGTCCAAAAATTTCTGAGGATATATTTGTAGGGGATTATCATTGGGCTATGTGTGATGAAGGGAGGGGGGAATTGCCAGAATTTTCGCTATATAGTGCCTATACGGATATATCTGTGGATTTACCGGATATCAAATATTTGTTGAATTTTCTTCTGATTTTTTTTTGTTTTAATTTCAAGTATTTTTCTATATTCAGATGCCACCTCCACAAGCAGCCGTAGCGAATCCCTCAGTGGACATGACGGTGCCGGCAGCAGTTCGAAATCGATTCCAACGACAAATCTGTTTTGGTGAGCCAGCTAGAGCTAACGTTTTGTGAGCCGTTGAAAGCTAGAGCGGTGGCGCAGCGAGTTCCGCAACTTGACGCGCAGATTCTATTAGGAGTGGCGCGAGTGAGATCTCGCAGCGAAAAGACCGTTGTGGTTATGCGAACTGGGTAGACGGAAATTGTTGAACGAGCAGGATTGATATATCGCGATTATCTAGGTATCGAGCTTGTAGCGGGAATTTTTTTCGTCAATTTATTGATTTTTTCCAAGTGTTTGCGGGTTGATATGTGCTTGGAAGTTTTGCTCAAAAGTTGACGCTTCGTTTTATTCTAACTTGTAAAATCATTCTGGATCAATTTAGTGCTGTAATTAGTGAACCAGTAATTAGAGAAGCTAGATTTGCATCTGCGCGCTTTGGGACCGCACTGCGGTTTCCCGCTTTCTGATGTTTCTTGAAATGGCGTTACGTTTCTTTATATATTAGAATTTATGTATAATTATCTTGTTATATCATATTATTTATCTATTTATTTTATTTTATTTTATCTATTTTTTGTCTGAAATCTATGTATAGTTGCGAAAAACCTTTCCTAATTGTCACCAGCAAAACAGCAACAGGCTGCTAAATTTAAAGCGGGATTTTTTTTCAAAGTTGGCATTGGTTGTACTCCAACAACCTATTTGACGCTTTCCCCTCTTTCCCTAGGTTCTTGGTTTTCTTTTGATCTTAGTTTTAATTCAACTTCTTGAATTTGTTTGACTCAAACCAGGCTGACTTGCTCTTTCGAGTGTTTTGTCAAAAGTTTGCCTCTTGAGAAAAGTTCTTGACAAATTAGCTCACTGGCTCAATAGAATTTTGGATCCATGAACAAAATAAGACAAGTACTGTCTTTACTCTTCATTGTCTTCCAAAAGTGAATATTGCAGACCTAAAAAAACTCAAATTGATTTTGATAGGCATATATGAACTCTTCAAACGTATTTTTTGGAGCTTTTCTGACTTTTTAGGATGCTTTTTCCGTTTTTTGGTGGTCAGCTTTTCTGAAAACCTTTTTCTTCACGTATCTAATCTTAAGTTCCCTCTTTTACATACTTGATTGCATAATTCCATTGCTAAAGCAACTGCGAGTCTTTTTTTCATACTTCAAGAATTTGCTTGATTCTAGTTCACTGAACAAATTTTGCGGCTTGGGATCCAGAAAAAAATTTCTATGGAAATTTGGTACGAATAACTAATACTTCGGTTTTTTTTAAATTTGTATTCTTTCGCGTCTAGTCCTAATTCCTGCATGTGGGTCCAAAAATAGATCTTAAGTCTTCCCATCTATAAAAATGATTAGTGGGGCCTTGCTCTGCTAGCTCAAAATTTCTTTCCGAGTCATAACTATTTTTTATTCCCTTTCCTAATACACTAATTTTGATCCAAATTTTTTCGCACTGCTTTTTGCGCTTCATTCCATCTCTTTTTTGCCCTCTCCCCCTGATGTACTTGATGGCAGATGTGTCTTTTGCGGTCACCTTGCTATCTCATTAGCCCTACGGCGGTTGCGGTTCGTAACACATGCCAGCGGCGACATGAGGTTTGATGTGAGGTGAGACGAAATCTGCGTGCAGGTGTGCTGTAATAGACATGATGCGAACATGATGTCTTAGAATCAATAGTCCGAAAAATATGGGTAGTAAATTATTTTTAGCCTGGAAAAAAGGCGATTTTTCGTATGAAAATGGGTTAAAAAGGAGTTCAGTCGCAGTAGTCGCTGCCTTTGAGTCGCTACAAACAATGTAGACGCCGAAAAATCGATAATCATTTCCATGAGAAAATAACCATTCGCAAAGTAGCATTTGCCATGCTTTCTATCTATGGCATCCCAAGAACTACGAAACTTGTCTATTCAACTCGCGTCTTATTGAGTTTTACGGAGGGTGACGAGGTTGGCGCCCCGCCGAATTCTCGCGTCCCTCACCACACCCAACTGCGCGAATTTCCTTTTGAATTATGAATAAGTTGTCGATTGCACTAACAGAATGCAGTAGAAGAATGTTTTTTGTTTCCTGAAAGGGTGGAAAAGGTACGGGGGAAAATATGTTGGTTATTTTTGGCGCGTTATCATAATTTTGGTGACAGAATATTGTTTATCTGACACTGCTTATTAAGGGTGTAGTGGAGAAAAGTTGAAGATCAATTAAAAAAATCGCTTGAATTTTTGTCCTAAATTTTTCCATTAGTGTAAATGTGTAAATCCTGAACGACTGGAACGGAAAGCAGAATTTTTAAGTACTTATCGGAAGCACTTGATGGAAGCTACAGGCTGAACAACATAAATAGGCTTTGCAAATTGATATTTATAAAGGCTTCGCGTGTTTAAATAGTAGTTCTGGGGTAGGGAAAATATGCGAAATGGTGTTTGAAAATATGCGATCGGCATACTTTGGCATTCCTTTGGTTTTTTGGTAAGAAAAACTGGGAAAGCTAGAATTGAATGACCTAAAAATACTATATTTTTTAGAAGATTCGCCCTCGGGATCAAAGAACGCTGAAAATGCGAAATCATCAATGAAAGTGTCCCTAATGGCCAGAGGGAAAGGAAATAAGGTTACCCTTTATCTTCTGGCTGAGTCATTGTCAGTAAATCCCAATCCCAATTTTTCTTTCAGTCCGTCTTGAAAACGGTATCGATCGAGGAATCAGCCTTACATGAAGCATGGAAAAAGGAGAGAGAACGAGAAGATTTAGAAAGAGCCGATATCAAACGAGTCACACTCGGTCATACAGCTCGTATATTCGCTGAAGAGGAGCAGGAAATGCGTCACCAGATATACTCACATAGCCGATTCAATTAGGTAATTTTTGATTACTGTAGCATCAATTTTGGTCCCCTACTTACCCTGAGTTGAACAGTGGAGTGGTGAATAATGAAGAGCTTGTGATGTTTGAGATCGAGGCAGTGAAGATGTGATTGGCTCTGAAAATGTGTGTTATTGAGATGTAGATGCATTTGTTCCGTGTTTGCAGAAATCACACTTACAGTAGTCGATGTTACCGTAAGAATAGAAGATAAATAGCAGCGACTAGTATGACAGGGAATATGTAATTGTAGCCGTTGTGAGAGGCTAAATTGCACATATCGCGTGTACATACGCATACACGTTGCATAGCATGTCGTTCTTGTACGTAACCTAAATAAAATGTAAACAAACTATGGAAGTAAAGTACAAAGAATATAGATCAAAGCTAAGATTATGGTAGAATGGTTTGGTACAGTGTCTCTGCGATGCTGACAACATTTGCTCGTAAACAAGTGGCCATGGCATATTTAGAAGTTTTGCGCTCCATGAGCTTTTTTTTTTCACGTCCAAATGTGTAAGCTTCGCAAAGGCACTGAAGACTTTTTAATCGTCAGGCCTATCAGATTTGATGAATCTGCGGTTCGTTCTGACAACAGCTGCGCAAAAGAAAGGCAGCCAGAGTGCGCATATCTCCAAATTTTGCGCACCAAAGCCTTTTCTTCACGCGTAATTGTTGCAAACACCGCAGATGCACTAATTTTGTTGCCACTGTCGGATTGCAGCTTATTTTGAAAATTACCTAGCTGTACACTCCTCGATACGGTTCGAACATTTTGGCATGCCAAATGTTGAAAATTGATTCGCCGATCACAACCAGCACCCATCCAATATTCTCCTCCACCTGAAATTAGGAACGTTTTGAAAATCGGCGGAAATTTTCTATTTTCAAAATCTTCGTGTTCTAAATTGAAACCGCAGGAGCCTTTCTTTTTTGTTTTTACTTTTTATCTTTTCCTATCTACAAATGTTTTGAATTTTCTTTTAGTAGTCAAGAGAGTATCTCCCACGCACTTATCCGTTCCAACACCTTAATTTGATATGCAGCAAACATTTGTAACCGTATACCTTTCTTAGCAGTACTGGATCCCCAGCAGTTAGCCTGCTTCACTCTATCATTTTTTTCCATACCCCTTTCCTTCTCGTATTTTCAAATTGACATACTATCCCATCTAGTTTCTAGCGGAAATTATTCATCATGGGCTTTTTTTATGTGAGCTCGCTTGGATTAGCATTGTCCAGCTGCAAATGAAGTCCAGTGTGCTGAATCTTGATTATATGTATGTACGAGATGTATGGACATGTACGAATCGAAAACGAAAATAGTAAATAGTGAATGAGTAGCTGGAAGTTCAAGTCGATTATCACGCCAATTATTCTGACAGGATTGTTTGTCACTTTTTTCATGTTTATGAATGCTTGAAGCTTGTGAACTTTTGAATATGGCTCGCTATTATATACTCAGAAACGGTGCTCAGTCTATTGAGAGCTGAGAGATGCAAGTCTGAACTCTTTGCGCTCTTTTTAGAGGCCACGTTCACGCAAATTACTGGGGTTCTTTATGTGGTAACGGAATGAAATATCTTGATTGAGCCCTACCCCAGGCTGCAGCTCATATGTTTCACTTGCATTAGAGAAATCCAGCTCTACTCTCGCCCAGACCGTACTCAAGTGACTGGTTCGCTCGAAAATACTACGGTCTGGGCGAGAGTTTAGAGTAGCTTTTCTCGCTTATAAATGAATCACATGGGTTGCCGTTTGGACAGTGGCTTAGCCAAGGAGTTCTAAACAGTATACACACAACTGAGAAGCCCAGGGCCCATGATTTATGGGGACATTGCCTTTAGTGCATACAAGGCTTTTTTTGGCAGACAGTGCTCCTCTATTGGTAAAATACCGTCAAAATCTCCCGAAGCCTCTTACCAAATTGTGAAATCTATTTGATTTACTAAGGAGGAGATTGATCCAATCCCATCTGGCTCTTTTCCTTGAAGGCTCTATGAAAGACCTATGGCAAGTTCACCGCACGTCATCGGCATGTGTCTCGTTTCGAAATTGTTGTCAGCTCCCGGAAACTTGTTTATCTAAGGAGAGAGAGCGCGAGATTCGCGTAGCTCACTTACACTTGGGTACATAGCCTTCAGCTACAAGGTGTGTACTTTTCTTAGCATCACTTCTACACTTTAACGAGATATGTGATACTGACAGTTGATGGGTTAGTAAGAGCCAGTAAAGTGCAAGAGTTCTGTCGGTTCAATCTAATTTATTTCGTTACTTTTAAGGGCCCGAATTTTGAAGATTTTCACATCCACAAGCTTCCAAATTGAAAGACTAGAAAAACTTTAAAGATGGTGTTTTTCTGTTCACTGAAAATGTGCTCGGACTTTGCCACAGCCTTCCCATAGCCCCCCTAAATTCAATAAACACGAGCAAAAAATGCAGCTGCCACTCAGTAGAAGCCGCTTCTCACAATTGACTGCCTCAACAATATATCAATAGCCTTTTCAACTAGTAGTCCAGTCTAGAGTTATACCACATTTCGAGCAGATATAGCCATGATAGAAGGATGGATGAGGTGAATGGGGAGAGGGAGGAAGAAGATTGGTAGATCAAACATGAAGGAAAGTATTTGAGAAGTGAGTTATACCTGCTTATATATTAGGTTGTACCGAAAGTTCTGTCGTTTCATTTTTGAAAATTTGTAACTTTGCGCTGTTTCAACGGATTTGCTTGCCTGTAATTTTATTAGAGAGAATAAGTCTTTCTCTTTCAAACGCTGTTTTGCGGAGCTTCTGTTTCACATTGGGTGCGGAGATAAAAATGGAAAACTAAGACCGAGTAAACTTTGACCATTTCAAGTTAGGTCACCAAAAATCTGGAATGCCGCAGAAAAATCTGAAATCGTCAGTACGCATGTTTTTTGACCTACTCTTTGCAATTGTGAAAAGTTTGTGCTGTTTGGACGTCTCTATGAGAAGTTATGATTTGCGCGAGAATTGACAAATTAATTAATTTTGGCGTTTTCCATAGTAAACTCGATATTCATAACTTTTCACAGAAACGTCCAACAACACAATTTTTTCACAGATGCAAAGGGTAGGCCAAAAATCGTGTGTACGGACGATTTCAGATTTTTCTGCAGCATTCCAGATTTTTGGTGACCTAACTTAAAATGGTCAAAGTTTACATGGTCTTAGTTTTCCATTTTTATCTCTGCACTCAGTGTGAAACAGAAGCTCAACAAAACAGCGATTGAAAGCGGAAGACCTAATCTTTCTAATAAAAATACAATCAAGCAAATCCGTTGATAGGACGCAAAGTTACAAATTTTTGAAAATGAAACGACAGAACTTTCGGTACAACCTAATACAAACGACTTGTGCTAGTTTTAAATGATTAAGCTTGTTGGATCGATATTTTTGATTATAAATAAATCTGTAATTTCTGATAATGCATCATCTACATACTCAGTTCAATCATTGTACAATTGTATTGCAGAAATTAAGCATGCAAAAAATGCACAAAATAGCGTTTGATAATAATCTTCAATATGAGAGAATGACATAAGAAAAATAAAGTGTACATAAATTTTGCTGATTTATAGCACAGTAGAATTTTCTTAGGTTTTTTTTTTCACATCCAAGGGTTTTCAGGCAAATTGGGGTTTTACCCTACTTTATATGAATCTAGATCTACATGCAAAGCGATTGCTCAAAGGGTCGCTCATATGATTTATTCACGCAATTGAAACTTTGATTTTCGCGGACAGTAGTTCCTAGCGGACCAATCAGCGTCTTTGACTACGGTAGAATTACGGTGTGGACTTGAGTTTAAGGTTTCATCTCTTGAACGCAATCAAATCGTGTAAGCTGCTGTTTGGGTAACGAAAACCTTTTATTCTGTTTGCACATAAGAAGCTAGGTAGCCAAAATTGCCTAAACACTGTCTCTGTATCACATTCTTAGTGGAAAGTAGGAAATGCCTGGTGATTATCATTTGTGCCTGTTAGTATTTTTTTGAGCATCACAGCATTTTCAGGGTCGGTCTCTGTGCGGCGTTTTGGGTTACAGACGGCGAATGAGCGTCATTGGAACCAGCCGCACTTATGTCTTCAAATGCTGAACTCGTCGCTCTTCTCACACTCACCACTGAACAGAGAACATGGATTGTCTGGCACTCCGTGACTCAAAATAATGAAGTTAAAATTCGTCCTAAACCCCGTGATATGATACATTCTGAGCATGCTCTGGTTTTCTCGTCATCATCTGCTGCCCCCGTTGATTTTGTGTGTTCAGTTCAATTTCTCATCTGTGATGGCATTTATATACCTTCCTGTACGCGTGTGTGTATGTGCTAGTGACACAACACCCATCGCACATCGTTTTGTCTTCTCTGAAGGTAATAAAAATGCTAATTTTATTTCTGTTTTGAGCTGTCATCGTTACGGGAATCTCCAGCTGACTAATTTTAGTGTTAATTTTCATGCAAGTTCAGGCGAAAGTTCTTGTCATTAGACGTGGCTTGGAAATATATACATAGCTGAGAATTAATTAGAAGTCCTGTGAGGGATGGGGAATGATTTAGCACGAAGGCTTGTCTGAACGATGAAAAGCGAGCGAGTGTACAAATGTTTAGCGGGACATCATGTAAGGTAATCAATAATCGATTTTCTCCAAATTTGGGTTTTGAGCCAGAAATTAGCAATTTGTTAGGTTTTTGAAACAAATATGGCAGATAATCAAACCGAAAAGAACTTGCGAGGGAAGATCATTTTCTCACGAGGTAGAAATGGTTAAAAGCAGGTTTGGGATTTCTATGAAATTTTAAGTTCAAGCTGAAACCGGAGAATTGTGAGGATCAAAATCTAAATATCTCTGAATTTTATTGAGTTCAAGCTGAAACCAAAAATTCGTAAATCAAACGGAAGTTCTTTTGAATTTTTAAAACCGCAAATCTGTGAAAATGTTAGATTTCTTTGCCCTTCTTGAGTTTGAGCTGAAACCATATCTGGGAAAACTGAATTTTGACTTACTTTGAAGTCTCAAGTTTGAGCTGTAACGAAAATGTATAGAAATCAAGGTCAGAATCACTCCGCAACAAAACAATAGATCTTCTGTTGAAGTCTTTTGAGTACAAGTTGAAACGGAGAATTTGTGAAAATCAATGTTGGGGCTTCTGGAAGTTTTTAGAGTTTGAGCTTACTGGAATTTGAGTCGTATCTGAATTTCTGTTTTTTAAGGTTTTCAAATTAGTCTACCCTCCTTCTGCATCACTATTATTTTTTTTACCCCCCCCCCTCCCCCATAGACCTCGAGGTACAATTTAGAGCCTATTTTGTATGAGGCTTTTTCAAATCTATATATGTAACCTAGGAGGCAGCAAGGAAGCTATAGATCATTTTTTTTGCAGCAAATCATGCGGACAAGGTGTGTAGAATGAATATTCTTCTTTTTTTCCTTTGAAGAATAGGTTTAGTTCAAAACTAAACCTATTCTTCAAAGCCTAGTTTCAGTATTCAGTATTCCATGCAGCAAAAAGAAAAAAGATTCTTATAGAACCGGAAAAAGAAATTTCCTTGGAGTTCTCCTTTGCCAAGATAATAGCTGTCGTTTTATAGTGGAAGCGCAATTATGTGCAGAAATTTGGAAGAACCAATAAAAGAGACGAGCATATCTACCAGGGCATTTTCACACGACAGAGAGGTAGTAGTAAAGTTTATGACATCGTAGAAAGGTTGATGTCTAAATTTTGTTGTTCGTGTAAAAGTAGACGGTTTTTTTCCAGCTATTGCGAAATATGGGGGTATTTTGGCTATAATTACGAAGTTTACATTGTTGCCTGGGAAAAGTTTACAAACAAGACAGGTACAGGGTTTAGAGCTGAGTTCGGAGCAAAAAGACCTTGGAGACAAAAATTATGAGGACTCGTCATTTTGGTTTAGAAAGGTACATGTATGTACATCTCAGAACGAAAATGACGAATCCTCATTATTTTGAGCCAAGCTGATAAAAAGATATGCAGAGCTTGCGGAAAGGGAAACAGTCTGACTTTTTTTTACAAACTCAAACAAAGCATAATCTGGGTTTTTTTTTGCGCTATTCTTTATCTATCTAGCTGTTGATTGTTTCAAATAAATTACTCAATTATCGTGAAAAAAAAAACAACGAAACACTTGCGGAAGTTCTAAGTCAAAACCACAGGATGACTAACAGAACACAGCTATTTTGGCTAATTTTTTTGCGGAACTTCTTATGCTTAAAATTCCTGCAGAATTTCCGAACTCAAAGTCAAAAGAGGATGAAAATACCAGCAGAGCAGCCACAATATTAGAACTTCTGTTTGATTCCGACAAACATAGTGACAAAACGGAACTTTTGCGGAACTTTTAGGTCAAGGCCACAAGATAACAGCTGATGAAGGTAGAACAGCTACTTTGTTTCATTTTTCTGCGGATTTCGACAATCGGAACTTCTGCGGAAGTTCTGTGATATTCGGAAGGCGAAGACTGAGAAAGATGAAGTGCAAACAGAAGTGAAAAAAATTTATATACAACATGCTCTTCTCGCCCTTCTGAATAGCGCGGAACAGCAATAAGTGTGATTTTGTCATTTTGGAATAACAGGGCTGAAGCGGGGATTTTTTTCGCAATTTTGAAGTAACGTGCAGAATTTTTGTGAGAATGAGTTGAATTAGAGCGACTAGAACTTTGCGATGTCCTAACCCCTGCACTTACCAATATGCATACTAATTCGTACGCAAACATCTTGATCTCGATCGCATCGTATCGGTTCCATACGACACGTTGGAGCCGGCAATCGAGTGGACACACGGAAATTATCCAGTTGAGTGGTTCCGGGTGATTGGACGCAAGTAAGGCATACAAGACCGTGTGTAGTGCCAACAAATAATACTAAGAGTAGTGCTGTAGGCATAATACAGTAATCGTACAGTAATGCTCGCCGGGTACACCCATAGAAGCCTAGACCATGACGATAAAGCACGGCCACGACGGCTCGCAGAGACGCACGGCTCGGTCGGTGGCGGTGCGATTTGACGCCGAGGGCGTGGCGACGCGACGACGACGACACACTCTCTATGACGAGGGAGGAGTCGTCGCAAGACGAGCTGCTCCTCTGGGGGGGAGGGGGGGTGAGGGCGGGGAGGGTCCTGGAGGATCCGTCTCGGAGGTGCACGGCCATGTGTACTGAGCTGGATAATGAGCTGTTAGCACAACTTTAGTAAAACGCCTTGACTAATACCCTGTGAGAAACAGAATTCCCGACCCGATGTTTTCTCCAGGTTCGAAGCCTTATGGGCTATGCCTGTTCCTCTACAGATTCCATTTTGAGTTATGATACTATTCTTAATTTCTTTCGTTCCTTTACTTGAACGGAGTTTCAATTTTTGGGTAAAGCTGCCTATATTACGTCGTGACAGATTCCGTGACACTTGAAGAAGAAATTCTTTTTAACTTTTCTGATCTTCAACTTATGTGGAGGATTGTAACATTCCATCACATACATGTCATACACAAATATTTTATTTTTGGGTTTTTGAGAATTTTCAAAATTATTTCAAGCAAATCTCCTGCTTGTTTCGTTGAAGAGCTTGAACTTCCACACCGCCTTCGTACTGCCTCTTATGTTTATGAAAATCATAAAACTAAAAACATAGATAGAAACTTGAAAAGATTTTGAAAAGAGAAAAAATGGAGGTTGAACGGCCGAAAATTGCCCGTGCTAATGGATAGCCGCTTTCCCTCTACCTGATGCACGCCATGTATGATATTTTGACAAAGTTTTTAGAGTTTTTTCAAACGAAGAAAGTACAACAAAACTTATATTACGACCTAAAAGTTTACAAAATTTCTAGATAGAGGTTGGAAAAATAATTTCTAAAGGAAAACTATAGTATATATAAATCTAACATCGATTACTTCTCGCGAAAAATCCTATGGAGTTAAGGCTTTCCTGGCGAGTGTACAGGCAAATCGGATACCTGAGCCTCCTATAAAACTATTTGGGGAGGCTCCTACATAATTGAGGCTTGACACCAAATAGTATATCATATAGTCCATATATAGTAACTAGCTGGCTTACCCGGCTCCGCCGTATGTTCCGAATAGAAAATTCCATTTCGTAACCGATCCAGACCAAACTTGCCACACATACACTTCGGGCCCCGGCGGGTGTCACAGTCCACTTTTCGTTATCGATCGATGTCGATTTTATCAATTTTTATCGATTTTTTTGCTGAGTTCACCTACGGGGCTGGGAGTTGGCACAGGGGGGTAATCGAGCATGGGGATTCCGAATACAATATTGGTTTTCAGGATTATCGATTACTTTTATCGATTTTATCGATTTTTTGCAAAGTTTGAGCTACGGGGCTGGGAGTTGGCACAGGGGGGTAATCGAGCATGGGGATTCCGAATACAATATTGGTTTTCAGGATTATCAATTTCTTTTATCGATTTTATCGATTTTTTTGCAAAGTTTGAGCTACGGGGCTGGGAGTTCGCACAGGGGGGTAATCGAGCATGCTGATCATCCCCAAGGGGGGTGATCAGCATGCTCGATTACACCCCTGTGCCAAATTCCAGCCCCCTAGCTCAAATTTTCAAAAAATCGATAAAATCGATAAAAGTAATGCACGATTTTAAAAACTACTATTGTATTCGTAATCAGCATGCTCACTTACCCCCCTGTGCCAACTCCCAGCCCCGTAGCTCAAATTTTGCAAAAAATCGATAAAATCGATATCGATCGATACGAAAAGTAGCCTATGACACCCGCCGGGGCCCAAAGTGTATGTGTGCCAAGTTTGGTCCGGATCGGTTCAGAAATGGAATTTTCTATTCCGAACATACGTACATACATACATACATACATACATACAGACAGACAGACAGACATACAGACAAACAGACATTCAGCTTTATATATAAGATGAAATTCAAACCTCAACTCTTGCCCAAACCGTGTTTTTCTAAGCTGACAAATAACCTGCAATTCGTTACTACTTTTACTCCGGTCAGATGCAGAATGGTTTATGCACACCTTAAGTTTTGCATTTCCTGCGGCGATTCGGGTTTTTGATCACATTTTTCTTTCTTTCTAACGCTGTTTTTCACATATTCGCTCGCATTTCTGTTCATGAGGTAGAAAGCTACACTTTTTTCACTGTAATATTCTATTCAGTGAAATGTTGCAAAAAGTGCTTTTTTCCTCTTGATGCACAACATGACTTCGTAACCTTTCTTGGCTGTTGGTGAGCTTAAAAAGAAGTAGAACAGATGATGGATCCTTATATAAGTTTGGCTTTTCCAAGAAGGGCAGCTCACTTTTGAATTTTTGTTTCTGGACTAACGAACACACGCTCGCGTCATACGCAACATTCGGTA